AAAAAAAAATTTGAATTGATCAGACATCTAGGACAGTCACAGCTATACTTATAACCAAACAATAGTGTCATGCGAAATTCGTTTGCCTTCCATACTTTGAAAAAACGTAAAGGTCGTGGTAGACGATTTGTGACAGGGTAGCAAATAGTTTGAAGTAAGACTTCAACTTCACGGAAATTTTTTCTTAACGAATATTCTGTTTTTGTAGCACCGAACCATAAATGTAACATCTTTTTCTATTATTATAAAATATATTAAAAACTAATAAAAAATTGAAAAACAATCGTAGCTCAAGAACTAACTTCATTTACTACTTCCTTGTACATTTCTAAAGTCACGTTTAAACTTTAGTTTTCAAACAATTTCAAAGACGTTGGTTTTTGTATGAGCTGAATGTCACAATACGATAGCTATATATTGAACGATATAAAGTACTAATGACTGTTTGCTTATTCTCATTTACCACCCAAGTATTAATAACTATTATCGAAAATGAGATATGACTCTGGCTTCTTTATTAATCATAATATCAATTTAATTTAAAATCATTGATATGTATTCATATGTTGGTGTCATAATACTACATCAAGGGAACACATTTCTGATAGATATAAGTCTTTTCACACTGGTAGCAAAATACTGCCAATTAAAAAAAACAAATCTTATGAGTTCTGTATTTATTTAATGCAGTTTCTATTCTGATTATAAAGCGAAATACCAATTTTTGCCTGTGTTAACTCAAATTCGATTAAATTTGCTCGATTTTATCTATATAAAGTTTACCTATATACTAATTTGCTACATATATAAATAGATTTCCAACAAAAAGGTTTAATCTTCAAGTGTCAAAAGGGAAAAGTTTCTACTTTTCTTATAGTTCTTTATGCATCATCTAAGAAAAAAACACTCACAAAAACACCACGATAAAGACCATGAAGTGAATCATAACAAAAGCTTTGTCCTATTTCAAAATATTGTAATTCACGTAAAGCACAAGGACCACGATGACCGCGTGCTTTATCTTTTGATGGATCTTTTTCATCATGGTTCTAATTAGCAGAAAGAATAAAAAAAATGTAAAATCACAGGATTAAGCCAAATAACTCACATCATCCACCATTGTTATGAATTTGTCATATAATTCATTATTTCGAAGTTTCACAGGAATGCTGTCATTTAAAACAAAGACTCTTGATCCTGAAGCATGACTAACTCCTATAAGAATACAAAAGTGTTAAATTTCAGATGACATAGGAAAATTAATAACAACTTATCGAGTGAAATAGAGATTCTCTCACCTGGAATGTAACACCATCCACAGCTAAAAAACCCGGTAGCGTCTTTGATGTTCATAATCAACGAATGTGCGGGCTTATCACATACTGCTGCAATCGTAAACGCATGAAAATGTACATATGTATTTGGTTCATCCCGGTTATTTGATAGAACAGTTACATCGAAACCAATATCTTCAAGTATTTTTAATTCATATACAATATCTTGTAGTATAATTGCATATTCTTTTTTTTTTTGGTTTCTCACTTCCCGTCGAAACCGAACATATCAAGAGATTGTTTGTTTCATAACGTTTACTACGAGGAAGTTCATTGATACACGCACATGTGATCCATAAAGAACGAGAAATTCGTTTGACTAGAACACCATCATTATGAAGAGTAAGAGTAATTATTTTTTTTTTTTTCATTCCTGCTTCTTCTACTATATCGATAAGACGCGAATATCTCTTACATACAACAGGTCACGTGTTCACGTGTACGTGATTGTGTTATTTAAATTCATTAATTTAAATGGTAGATAATTACAATTTTTATGTTCATGAATCATTGGTGGACAAAGAAAAGCGTGTTGAAGGTCATAGTCTACAAAAATTAAATGATAAATTGACTCAATTAAATAATGAAAATGAAAATTCCAAAATTAGATCCATCAAAAGACAAGCAACATCACAAACTCAATATGATAGTGAAAACGAAGATTCAATTCTTTTTATCGCTAATGAAAATGAAAATGATCGATTTACTATGGTGAAGAAAAATCAAAACAACCAAAAACGTAAAATTCAACGTGGTGAAGAACAACATGTTTACAATCTTGATCAACTTGATGAGTCATACAATAATGATAAACATCGGAAAACAAACAACTATCGAATCTATTCAAGAAGAACGAAAACAAAAGAAATAGTGGATGACTCATCTTATCATCACGTGAATAAAAAATCAAACAATTATCAAGTAAATCATCATCATCAAATAAATCAAAATGATAAAACAAATATTCCTGTTTATCCTGTCAATAATTACTCTTTATCCTATGCTACTGATCTTCATCTTACACCATTGAAAATAAAATGTAATCCAACTTTATCTGATAAAAATGCTGCTTTAAAACTTGTACAAGAACTATTTAAAAGAATCGAAAATTCTTTTCGAAAAAAAATACACTGATCATAAAAAGACAATTGGATTCGACTATTGGTGGATAAATAATGATGGTGATCTTGTAGGAATTACAAAAGATTTATCATTATACGTTTATTTATGTGATACAAGACATTACCCTGATTATATTGATTCAGTTCAACTTAATCCTATACTACCTATTCATTTACCACCACAACATGCAGCAGTGATAAAATTTGTACCAAATGATCATTCTCTTGTTGATATTGAAGAAGATCTTAGAAAACGTTATTCATCTATTTATCATATTGAAGAAATGAATGCTACCAGAAGATTGCACAGCAGACATATTAGAATAGATGTATATGATAAAATTGAATATAATAATATATTAAATGGTGGTATAATTACATTAGGTGGTATGCTTTGTGAAGTTGATGAATATTTGCCTGCACCTAAAATTTTATTATGTACGAAATGTAATATTCCTGGACATACAAAAAAAGTATGTAGATTAGAATATGATCGATGTCGAAGATGTGGCAATGATCGTAGTAATGGTGATCATAAGCAATGTATGATATTATGTCACCACTGTGGTGGTGAACATCAAGCAAATAATTATAAATGTCCAATTTTACTCGAATTTCGTCGGAATCTCATTGAAAAATTGAGAGAAAATCCAGACAAATTACCTCCTCAGATACAAATGTTCATTCCTCTTGATTGTAGACTACGAAAAACGGAAAAAGTTCTATTCAACGAGAAAAAACCCGTTCAACAATTTACTTATACTAATTCACTTTATGAATGGCCAATTCTTGATAAACCATTGAAAAACTGCAGTTATGACAAACATTTGAACAATTTACAAAATGAACTTGAAGCTCAAAAACATAAATACCAGCTCGAAATTGAAAAAATCAATAACAAATTGCTACAATATTCAACAAATATTCAAAAATCATGTATAATTATGCAAACTCAAATTAATACACAAAAAGAAATAATTGATTCAACAACATCAATTGTAAATGATTTAACATTAAATATGAATACTAATATTATTAACATTATTAATAATCTA